GTGCTGAGGAATTGAACCCAGGGCCTCATGCACGCAAGGCAAGCACTCTACCACTGAGCCACCTTCCCAGCCCTGATGTACCTTTTTACTCAAGGCTGGCACTCTACCACTGGAGTTGCCTCTGGCATTTTACTAAGGAAGAGCTTAATGTCATCAACAGTATGTCTTTGTGTGACTATTCTACATCTTTTCTACTTTACACTAGTTGACTCTAAACCCAAAGGCAGAATCTTAGACTCTGGAATCATTCCCGCCAATCAAGATCTTTCTGAATTCTTGTCCTGTAAATTGAGGTCAGTCTCCCTACCTACTAGTCACCCATAAATGCAGGCTCTCTGGTCTCATCTGACAAAAATGCAGGGCTTTCTGCACACAAGGTAAAGGATCTCTCACTGAGCTACACCCAATGTTTGGGCTCTCCATTTTATCAAGAGCCTCATGTTTAATAGTCTGACTTGTTGATCCTTCTAAGTTGGCAGACTCAAGAGAGGAAACCCCAGGTGTGGTTTATTTTCAAAGTCCTCCCTCAAGCAGCCTCACACCCATCTCTTTCAGGCTCCTCTTCTTGTACTCCTTCCCATTCAGGGGTGGTGAGCAAACAGGAGGTATCTAGCTTCTCCTCCTCAGCAGTCGTAATTCCAGATCTACCACTTGCCTACTATCATGGCATGAACGTAGGCGAGTTCCTTAGCATTTCTGTGCTTCTTTTTCCTATCTGAGAAGTAGGGTTACTAGTAATAGTGCCTAATATGTTAATGTTTGATAATAAGAAAAAAGTTCCATCTCATGTTATTGTACCAAAGAAAGGGATAATACACTAGAGGAGCTAGAGAACTAAAGCTGTTTGCTTGCTAAATGCTTCTGAAGGTTTAGCAAGGATTTTAGTATAATAGAACCAAGTAGAAAAATTCCTGCCCCTTCTAGAAGAAAGACATCCAAGAATTTCCTCAAATATATAAATTGTGCGCTTTTTTTTTTTTTTGCCCTCCTTCCATCCTCTTTATTTATTGCCAGTACTCGGGCTTGAACTTGGCCTCACACTCACTTGGCTTATTTTCACTCAAGGCTAACACTCTATCATGTGAGCCACAACTCCAATTCTGATATTTTAGAGGTTAATTAGAGATAAATCTTACCGACTTTCTGCTGGCTTCCAACTGTCATAGTCCTATCTCAGGCTCCTAAGTGGCTATGATTACAGACATGAGCCACCAGTACCTGGTCATTTGTCTACTTGATTAAGCTGTCCCCATACATCACAGAACACTATCCCCTCCTTGAGTGTAGCTCTATTTCCCTTCACTGCCCCTTTCTCTGATCTGAGTCTGTAGATTCTCTTAAAACAGAAACAGCAATGCTGTTCAGACCAGTTCTGGATATTCAAAGTAAGAGTGGTAGGTGGGAATGGATATGCATGAGATGGGGATTTTTTCATTTTTCTTTCTTTCTTCTGGGAATCAAACCCAAGGTCTCACAACATACTAGGCAGGCACTCTACCAATGAGTGACACTCCCAGCATTGGAGATGTTAATCTGTCATAATTATTACATCAAGCTATCACACACACACTATCACACACACACACTATCACACACACACACACACACACACACACACAAGTCCTACATCCTTAACACTCAATGTTTTATCCCAGATCATGGTGAGTTCTTATCTCCAGGTAAATAACAATATCTATGAAACTGTTCCCCATCCTCCATTCCATTCCCAAATCTTCCTTTAACATAGGAGATAATTTCTGAGTAGTTCCCATTAAAGCACAAGTCAATGAAAGAAGTTAAAATGCTACTATCAAAGCTGAAGAGGGTGGTACATTCCTGCAATGAGACGAGAGGCTGAGGTACAAAGATCTAGAATTTGAGGACAGTCTTGGCTATGTAGTGACACCGTGTCTCAAAAAATACACACACACAACCAAGTGTTGGTGACTCACACCTGTAATATATGCTGGAGGCTGAGATCTGAGGGTTGTGATTTAAAGCCATTCCAGGTAGCAAAGCTCATAAGACTCTATTTCCAATTAACCACCAAAAAGCCAGAAGTAGAGCTGTAGCTCAAGTGGTAGAACATCAGCCTTAAGAGAAAAAGCTAAGGGAAAGTGTCTAGGTCCTGAGTTCAAGCCTCAGAACTCTGTCTCTCTCTCTCTTATAATAACAATTTTAAAAATTGAAGAAAAAAAAAGGTAGGCAAAGAGGGGAAAAACTGGAAGAGAGTAAGGGAAGGGGTGACATTATCCAAAAAGAAATGTATTCACGGGCTGGGAATGTGGCTTAGTGGTAGAGTGCTTGCCTAGCATGCATGGGTTCAATTCCTCAGTCCACATAAACAGAAAAAGCTAGAAGTGGCACTGTGGCTCAAGAGGTAGAATGCTAGCCTCAAGCAAATGAAGCTCAGGGACAGTGCCCAGGCCCTGAATTTAAGCCCCAGGACTGACAAAAAATGAAACAAAAGCCGGGCGCTGGTGGCTCACGCCTGTAATCCTAGCTACTCAGGAGGCTGAGATCTGAGGATCGCAGTTCAAAGCCAGCCTGGGCATGAGAGACCGTGAGACTCCTATCTGCAATAAACCACCAGAAAACCATAAGTGGCACTGTAGCTCAAGTGGTAGAGCGCTCGCTTTCAGCTGAAGAGCTGAGGGACAGCGCCCAGGCCCAGAGTTCAAGCCCCACGACCGACAAAAAGAAAGAAACAAAAAATGAGTGGGGGGACAAAGAAAAAAAGACATATATTCATTACCTGACTTATGTACCTGTAACCTCTTTGTACATCATCTTTATAATAATAAAATAAGCATTCATTACAAAACTTTCCTTTTGACATTCTAAAATGAAAGTCGACATGGTATTTCCCAATTCCAAGGCTATTATCTGACACACTCATCAAAAGTGGCTGAGTGACAAACTATTCTCAAATCTGCAGAAGCCATGAATCATGCATCCTCAGGGCCTTTAACCCATATCTGTCCCACCTGTCCTCCAACCCTAACACAGAACTGTAAACATTAAAAATCTCAATCTCGGGGCTGAGAAGGTGGCTCAGTGGTAGAGCGCTTGCCTTGCACGCAAGAGGCCCTGGGTTCGATTCCTCAATACCACATAAGCAAAAAAAAAGCTGGAAATGGCGCTGTGGTTCAAGTGGTAGAGCACTAGCCTTGAGCTGAAGAGCTCAGGGACAGCGCCCAGGCCCAGAGTTCAGGCCCACAACCGACAAAAAAAAAATCTCAGTTTCACTGAACCATTTAATAATCACCTCTTTTATGTCCATGTGGACGTTATTGCCTCTGGGGGAGGGGAGGACATACTGGTGTGTATTCTTCAACTAATGGTTTAATTTTTCTTCCTTTTTAGATCCTTAATAGAAAACACAATTCCGTTAGGGATTTCTAGATAGGAATACAAAATATATCAAAGTAGAACCTACCATCTTCCAAAGTAATAAGCAAAATCAAACACAGAATACCCTTATTTGCCTTCTTACAATTTAGACTAGGTACTGGACATGGTGGTACACACCTGTAATATCAATACTCAGAAGGCTAAGGCAGGAGACTTATGAGTTCAAGGCCAGCCCAAACTAGTGAACAGCCTGCCTCAAATAGATTTGGGGGCTGGGAAGGTGGCTCAGTGGTAGAGTGCTTGCCTTGCATGCATGAGGCCCTGGGTTTGATTCCTCAGCACCACATAAGCACAAAGAAAAAAGCCAGAAGTGGTGCTGTGGCTCAAGTGGTAGAGCGCTAGTCTTGAGCTGAAGAGCTGAGGGACAGCACCCAGGCCCAGAGTTCAGACCCCACGACCGGACCCAAATAAATAAATAAATAAATAGATTTGGGGAAATATGGTAGATGGAAAATTGAAATTTAAAGACACAAAAGGGTCCCCATGGGAAGACAATGAAAGCAATGAGAATCAGGCCAATATTGCTAATTCCTAGTCTAAACTACTATTAAAGTAATTCAAGTAACTTGAAGTTCCCCTTTCCCACCTACTGCTGTCAATACAGCAGTTTTTCCTATAGTCACTGGTGGGAGGGTGGGCACTTTCTCTTTTTACTTGGTGGAATGGGCCAAACAGAACCCCTAAGCAAGGAGCTGGGAAGGTGGCTCAGTGGTAGAGCACTTGCCTTGCATGCATAAGGCCCTGGGTTCAATTCCTCAGCACCACATAAGCAGGGAGTGGTGCTGTGGCTCAAGTGGTAGAGCACTAGCCTTGAGCTGAAGAGCTGAGGGACAGTGCCCAGGCCCAGCGTTCAGGCCCCAGGACCGGACCCAAAAAAAAAAAAGAACCCCTAAGCATCCTGGGTGCTATCTTACAACAGAGGAAGGTCTGGCCTTGCTTTAGGAGGTTCTGGAACAAGCTCTGCCTTGAGTAAGAACCAAGAAGCAGCTAGGCACCAGTGGCCCAGGCCTGTAATTCTAGCTACACAGAAGGCAGCTCAGGAAGTAAAGTCTGTGAGACTCTTTATCTCTCCAAACCACCAAAAAGCCAGAAGTAGAGTTATGGCTCAAGTGGTAGAGTGCTAGCCTTGAATAAAAAAGCTGGGAACAGTGCCTAAGCCCTGAGTTCAAGCCTCAAGATTGGCACAAAAAAGAGGGGGCAGGAAGAAGCAGCATGGGGAGACAGGACAGGAACCTTGGAAGTAGTCTCAGGTTGCTAGGAAGTCAGGCAGATTGGGGGGAGGAGGGCCACTACTGATCTTGAACTCAGGATCTGGGAGATGACCCTTAGCTTCTTTGCTCAAAGCTGTGCTCTACCACTTTAGCCACAACTCCACTTTCAGCTTTTTTGGTGGTTAACTGGAGCTAAGATTCTCATGGACTTTTCTGCCCATGCTGGCTTCAAACTGTGATCCTCAGATCACAGCCTCCTAATTAGTTAGAATTACAGATATGAGCCACTAGCACTTAGGAAGATATTTTGTTTGTACAAAGGAGCCCAAGAGACCCCCAGAGACCTCATTTCCCAAACTCCCCACAAAAGAAAGCTTTGACAAACCAAGTTTTTATTTCCAACAACATCCAGCTAATACAAACACACAGAAACTCAAGCTCATCAAAGAGCTAAGAAGCCCTCTAACACACAACCCAATTTCAGCTAAGACCACACACACACACATACACACACAGACCACACACTCACGCAGCTCAGCAAAGAGCCAAGAGTAATACATACATCCCCCCCACAGACATCTCAAAAGGGTCTGTCTAGTTGTTCCAGCCAAAGAAAGGCTGATGGCTACCCACTTCAGCTTTTTCTTTACTTTGGTGGTTTGAAAGCTTCTTTGCTCCTCATCTCCTTAAAGTTGACCATGCTTTCCCATGTTCCTATGGACAGCAGTCTGCTTGTGTTCAGGAAGATGGAGCAGAAGATTCCTCGTGTTGCTCTTCATGGAGAGATGGAAGAGTGGGCTCCAGAGATGGAAGAGACAATGTCGTCACCAAACACTTCAACCGCTCTTCTCTGGAGAACAGCCCTGTACACCAGTCCTCATTATGGGAGGAGAGAGCCTAGCAATTAGGCTCAAAATCCTTATTTAATGGCCACTACAGACCAAGTAGTGGTTTTCTTACTGTCTACAGGCACACCCAGAACTCCTGCCTGATCCCTCATGGGGATGGGGGAATGGGCATTTTGAACAAGTCTCAGACCACTCAGCAGTGGGAGAAAGAAGAAAGGCACCCATTGCTGATGTTATTAAAATCACATCCTAACTAAGATAAAGTGGGGATGGGGTTCTTAAGGACATTGAAGGCATCCTGTGAAGGCACTGACATCTGGTAGCACCTGAGTGTGACAAGTAGAGATGAGCCCAACTGGGTCACACCAGGAAGGATGAGGTCTGTTTGAACTCCCCCTGGGGAAATAAGAAAATATCCAGTCAACTCAATGGTGGTCTGTAACTAATAAACCCTAAGAAACACATATAATAAACACAGCCTAGAAATCCTTTGGCTTTAGGCAGGGCCTCCCTTCCCCAGGGCAAGCAAACTCACATCACTTCGAGCACTTGGTTGGCTGTAAATCACCTTCTTGGTGGAAGCCCTGTAGACAAGCCAGAAGATGGAGGTGCTTAGACCCCTAGGTGTCCATTAATCCGCCTTGTCAATCCTAGAGGCCAGAACTAAGAACTTTTATAAAAGTTAAGAGTGTTCAATAGGAAAAGTGTGAATAGAGGAAGACAAAACAAACTCAGGATCACCAAGAACAGAAATCCAGCTGGGCACCGATGGCTCATGCCTATAAGCCTAGCCACTCAAGGACACTAAGATATGGTGATCTTGATTCAAAGCCAACTTAGGAAGACAAATCTAGAGGGAGATTCTTTTTTTTTTTTTGTCGGTTGTGGGCCTGAACTCTGGGCCTGCACACTGTCCCTCAGCTCTTCAGCTCAACGCGAGTGCTCTACCGCTTGAGCCACAGCACCACTTCCAACTTTTTCTGCTTATGTGGTGCTGAGGAATCAAACTCAGGGCCTCATGCATGCAAGGCAAGCACCCTACCACTGAGTCACCTTCCCAGCCTTAGAGCAAGAGTCGTATTTCCAACTAATCAGAAAGAAGCAAGAAGCAAAGCTGTGGTTCAAGTGGTAGAGCATCAGCCTTGAGCAAAAAAAAAAGCTAAAGGACAGAGCCCAGACCCTGAGTTCAAGCCCCAGTATAGCAAGAAAAAAGAAAAAAAGAATAGAAATCAGCTCCACCTCCAATCCCCCCACACGAGGAGACCACATCCCAATTTCAAACCAGAGATCCATGTTCTTATCTTCAAAGAACCCCAGAGCAGCAGCTCACTCACCCTTTTTTTGCTCCTGAAAGAGAGGGGGGAAAAAAAGAGACCATTTTAGCAGTACAGAATACATCATCCCATGGATAGGTGGGAGAACTGATAGGTGGCACTTAATACAGGCTTGATCAAGTCATCTGTGTTCCCTGGGAAGAGGGTGCCAGCACACAGGACACAGTATTGCGGAGCATATTCAAATATACCCATAAGCCAGGCACCGGTAGCTCATGCCTGTAATCCTAGCTACTCAGGAGGCTGAGATCTGAGGATCGCAGTTCAAAGTCAGCCTAGGCATGTAAGTCTGTGAGATTTTTATCTCCAATGAACCAATAGAAAACCAAAAGTGGTCTTGTGTCTCAAGTGGTAGAGCCTTGAGCTGAAGAGCTCAGGGACAGCATCCAGGCCCAGAGTTCAAGCCCCATGACTGACAAAAAAAAGTACCCATAAACCATGCCCTGAACTGGACAATACAAAGGAAGGCCACCATGGGCAAATACTTACTGTAAAAGTAGCCTCGGCTATAGGCAAACCAGATACCAAAAATCAAGACTCCAAGAAGAATCAGTGTCACTAGGACAGCTGCCACGATGCCCCCCACATTCAGTTCCACTGTGAGACACAAAGAAGATGTCAGGGCCCTCGATGCTAGTGGCAGGATGAAAAGCAATCCCAATGCCACCCAGCTCTGACTGCAAGTCCCTCCACACCGTCCCTCACCTGCTTCCATGTGTGAACTGTCCGACAGCATGGCTACCCCGTAGCCATTGCGTGCCTCACACTTGTATTCTCCGGTATCAGAGGCCGTTACAGGATCAAAGATCTGGAGGGAAAGAAAAATAGGCCTTTTGCCTCAAGAAGCCAAGAATCTATCTTTTATGTCTCCTGATCCTAAGTCCACGTTCACTTTGTTGCTTGTTCCTCCTCCTTAACTTCAGGGGCTCTAAATGTATGCCTTCCCAACTTTCCACCTTCCCTTCATTCGTACCAGCTCCCCTGTCTCGGGATTCAGGGTGTAGGAGGAATTGCTAAAGGCTCGGTTCTGGGCGGGATCCACAGGCATGCGAACGCCATTCCTGAACCAGTAGTATTGAGAAGGCGGGGATCCATCTTGTTCTGAGCAGGTTAGCACAGCCCGGTTCCCGATGGTGGCAGAGGAGGGGACGTCTAATGTAGGCTTGGATGGAGGCACTAGGAAAGTAGAGAAGAAGGCACTGAACACATGGGCAAAGAGTGTTGCATAAGTCACAGACTAGGATAACACTGTATTTAATGAGCTCTAAAAATCCATTCAGCTAGTTGGACACTAGTGGCTCACACCTGTAATCCTAGCTACTCAGGAGACTGAGACAATCATAGTTCGAAATCAGCCTGGGGAGGAAAATTTATGAGACCCTTATCTCCAATAAACTAATCTATATCTCCAATAAACTAGGAAATGGCACTATTCCTCAGGACCAGCACAAAAAAAGAATCCACCCACCCCCTCACTTCACTTTTTTTTTTTTTAATGCTAGTGCTAGGGCACTATCCCTGAACTTTTTCTCACAAGGCTAGTGCTGTACTACATGAGCCACAGCTCCACTTCTGACTTGTTGATGATTAACTAGAGCTGAAATTCTCACTGACAGGTAATGTCTAGGCTGGCTTCAGTCATCCTCAGATCTCAGCCTGCTGAGTATCTAGGATTACAGGCATGAGCCACCTGCACCAAGCTAAGCATTTATTTATGTATTTGTCCTTACTCCTTAGTTCCAGTTACCCAGGTTGTCACTCCCTGGCTGTGACTCGAAACACTTTCTATTTGCAAGCATTCTCATCATCAAGGAGCTCTAAGCTTAGCAAAGTCTGCTACAAGTTGGCAGTGCTGGGGTTTAAACTCAGAACTTCATTTGCTCAGCTTGCTTGCTTGGCTGGTGCTCTAGCACTTCATCCAAGTCTCCAGACTAGCTTTTTGCTGGTTATTTTGGAGATAGAGACATGTAGACTTTTCTGCCCAGGCTAGCTTTGAACTGCAATCCACTAGATCTCAGCCTGAGTATTTAGAATTATAGACATGAGCCACTAGCACCCAGCTGCTATAGGCTTTTTTTTTTAAAGGGAAGCAACCTAGGCTAGGCCCACACAGAAGTCAGATGACACCTACCAACCACAAGGAGCTGGATGGTGACTTCCCCATAGTTATTGCCATTGTCTTCAGTGACCATACAAGTATACATCCCACTGTCTTTCCGGGTCACAGATTTAAAGGTGATGCCAGTCGGTGAGAAGGTAACTCGGTCCTCATAGGAAGCTACCAGAAGGAAGCAGTGGCAAAGCCAGGGTGAACTAGAGAGCTAAGAGACACTGATGAAAGTGATACCCAGGGTACAAGGGTGTTCCCCCTGCACAGGAAGGGAATGGGGAACTGGTGGGAGGCCTGAGCAGCCAGGGTGTGTGCCCCACCCCTGGAATCCAGGTGAGGAGAACAGCCCCACAATCGAACAAGCAGGAAGGAAGAAGGGAAACTCACCTGTGATCTTGCTGTTATAGCAAATTAGCCTGGTGGTGTCACCTTGGACAAACTTCCACTCCACACGGGGGTTGGAGAACCCAGAGTAGGAGCAGGACAACTTGACCGCTGTCCACAGGATCAAAAATGAGAGGGAAGAAGGAGCAGCCCAAACGCCAGACTGGGCTGCCTGTTCTTCCTGCCCCCTCCCCCATAGGTCTGGCACCTGCCTGCCCTCACATCCACCCTGGTCCACCCTGCCTGCCCTCCACAGTCCCAGCCCACTCACAGTTATTTTGAGGAACTCGAACTAAGGTTTCAGACGTGTACACTGTACCCTTGCTGAGCACCAGGGGATCTGAAGAGAAGAAAAGAGGATCCCATTAAAAGGGGACAGAGTCTACCATAGAGAGGGAACAGTCCCAGCAAAAGGGGCTGAAATCCTAATGGTGAAGACAGCAGAGCCTCTCCCAACTTAGTTCTCATACTCTCTGGCTGTTATCCTGAAAATCTTCTTAAAATGTGACCAACGGTGAACAAATGCAGCAGTGGTTCTCACTAGACACTATGCTGAAAATGAACTAAACAACTTGTGGGTGGGGATGGAAGGGAAAAACTGGGAGACAGCAAGGGAAGGGTGACATCCAAAAGGAAATGTACTCATTGCCTGACTAATGTAACTGTAACTCCTCTGTACCTCATCTTTATAATTACAATAAAAAATAAACATTCAAAAAAACAGTTTGGGGCTGGAAAGGTGGTTCATTGGTAGAGTGCTTGCCTTGCATGCATGAGGCCCTGGGTTCCATTCCTCAGCACCACATAAGCAGAAAAGCCGAAGTAGCTCTGTGGCTCAAGTGGTATAATGCTAGCCTTGAGCTGAAGATTTGGGGGACAGTGCCCAGGCCCAGAGTTCAAGCCCCAGGACTGACCCAAAAAAAAGTTTGGTTACTCATGCCTACCTACTCAGTAATAATGAGGTCTGAGGATCTCGATTTCCAGCCAGGGCAAGTCCATCAGACTCTTATCTCCACGTAACCAGCAAAAAGCAATGGTTCAAGTGGTAGAGCACTAGCCTTAAGTGAAAAAGCACAGAAATGGTGGGACAAAGGTCTAAACTAAGTCAGCAGTGATACCCACTAGACATGACATTGAAAATGAACAACGTGGGGGAGAGTGAGATCAGGAAGGAAAAAACTGGGAGAAAAGGAGGGAAGTGGAGAAATGTACTCATTGCCTGACCTATGTAACTTAACCCCTCTGTAGATCACCTTCACAATAAAAATTTAAAAATTAAAATTAAAAAGTATTTTATAATAGTATGGCAGGCCAATATACTACTATCAATGGAAACAAGACACTGCTTTCAAATTTGCATTCTTTCATTTTGCATTGTTTCCACTATAGCTTCAGTAATCGAATTAAATTCCTGTTATTCAAGGGCAGCTTCCAGAAAGACACTCAATGGTTTTGAGAAAGCTTCTAGTCAAGACAGTCCTGGAAGGAAGCCAACAAGCTGATGGCAAGGTGAGGAGGGGAGGGAGGACCTGTAATGAGAATAATAATAATTCTTGACATTTGTGGAACATTTGGTACTTTTTAAAGTATTTTCACATACATTACATTTTTTTGATCCTTGGAACAAGCATGAATATCAGCAGGACAAGTATTATTATCCTAATGTCACACAAGGAACTGAAAATACAGGAAGTAAAGAACCATGCTTAAGTGCTGGGAAGGTGGCTCAGTGGTAGAGTGCTTGCCTTGCTTGCCTGAGGCCCTGGGTTTGATTCCTCAGCACCACATAAGCAAAAAGAAAAAAAGCCGGAAGTGGCACTGTGACTCAAGTGGTAGAGTGCTAGCCTTGAGCTGAAAAGCTGAGGGACAGCGCCCAGGCCCAGAGTTCAGGCCCCACTATCGGACCCAAAAAAAAAAAAAAGATCCATGCTTTAGATCCCACAGCTGGCTCTGAGCTGGGGCTTGGATCATCCCATTGGAATCTTCTACCTTTCAAATGGAGAAAGAAGGTGATATAGGATGGGGGCAAACTGTGAGAATCAGAAGGCCAAATAAGTAATGGGGGCAGGGCGCAAGACAGAATGATACATCACCGAAGTAAAAGAGGCCCAAATCTGCCAGTTAAAACTAGTGATAGAAGTCAGCACCATGGCTCACACTTGTAATCACAGATAAAGGAAGCAGAGATCTAGAGGATCACAGCTCAAGACCAGTCCAGGTAGTTAGCTGGGAGCCGTGCTGTGGTCCCAGCTGTGAATGAGCACAGGAGACTAAAATAAGAGGATCATTGTGCAGACCAGGCCCCAGGGAAAAATCACCAAAGATTAAAAGATAATACAGTAATAACCTAAAGAAAAACAGGGCTATAGGTATGGCTCAAATGGCAGAGTGCCACTAACAAGCTGAAGGCCCGAAGGTTCAAAATCCCAGTACTAGTCAGGCACAAGAGGTTCATGCTTGTAATTCTAGCTAGTCAGGAGGCTAAGACCCAGAGGACTGAGGCTGGAAGCCAGACCAAGCAGAAAAGTCTGAAAGATTCCATCTTTAATTAACCAGAAAAATGCTAGACTCAAGTAGTAGAATTTTCAACAAGAATCAGGCTCTGGTACA